TACAAAACAGAAATAGAATTACAGATGTAGAAAACAGACATGGCTACCAGGGGGTAAGGGACAGTGTTAGCCCCTCAGTCGTGTCCTGCTCTTTGCGATCCTATGGACTGTGGCCCACCAGGTGCCTCTGTCCATGAAATTCTCCAGGCAAGAATACTGGAATGGGTTCCCATTCCCTTTTCCAGGGGATCTTCCCAACCCAGGGGTCAAACCTGGGTCTCCTACACTGCAGGCAGATTTTTTACTGTTTGAGATACCGGGGTGGGGTGCGGGGAGAGGTGGAGGGATAAATTAGGAGCTTGGGATCAACACATACACACTACTGTACATAAAATAGATAAGTAGTGAGAACCTACAGTATAGCACAGGGAACTCTACTCAACAGAGTAATGTAATGGCCTATATGGAAAAAAGAATCTAAAAAGAGTTGATATATGTATATGTATAACAGATTCACTTTGTTGTACACCAGGAACTATCACAACATTGTAAATCAACTATATGCCAAGAAAATTAAAATATTTTTTGAAGTGGTTGTGCCTTTCAATAACTTTCCAACTTGTACCTCCAAACTGTTGAACTGTTGAATCTGAGAGTCATAAATGCAAACACTCTAGAAGCAAAGTATTTAAAGCTAACATCTCAAGTGGGCTAGGCATGGAAGGCTAGGGAGACTGTGGTGCATCAAACAGTGTGTAACTCCTCTTAGAAAAGAGTAGTAAATGTCTCTTTCAAGCCAGAACAGTTTGAAGTGAAAAAGAGTGCTATTAACAATTATATTAAGAGAGCAGTTGTGAAAAGGGACACACTTGAATATGTGGTCATCCTAAGAGATAAGGAATGCTGAGGCCACAAGAGCTTACACAGGATCTTTAAGACCGTATGATTCATAAATAGAAGTCAGAGATGAGCATTTTATGGTATAGCTCTAATTTTTAAACATTATTTGATAATTTAATTTTTAATCTCTGCATGCATACTCACTCACTCAGTCATGTTTGTGACCTCCCCTCCCCTGCATTGTAGCTCACCAGGCGCCTCTGTTCATGAAATTTTCCAGGCAAAAATACTGGAGTGGGTTGTCCTCTCCTAGTACATTTTTTAATCTTCACTTAAAACAAAAAATAAAACCTACCACCCAACCATATCTGTTAGTGAGATCTTGCACTCTGCCCTCTAGCGTGCAAATCTGGTATAAGGCTTTGATTTCATATCATGTTCTTTTTCCCAGTGTGTTTCCATCTGAATGTTCTCTTTGTCCCTTGTTTGTTTTAGATGCCCCAGTTGGTCTCTGTCATGTGAACATGACTTCTAGCCATCTCCTTTATTAAACTTAGTCTTTGGAGACTGAAAAGTGTCAACCATCTCCCAGTTCCCCTTTGGCCATCCACTTTCAGGGCTCCTGCTTAGGTAAAGGTTTATTCCTGCTCATTCTAGTGAGGTGTCCTTAGCCTCGGCTTTGTGGTCTTGGTCCTAGTATCTCACTGTCAATGGCAAGTGGTTAGAAAAGAAGCTCTTTACAACTGGTATTTCTATTCTTTGGCAGAAAATTACCTTTGTCAAATTTGCTAACTATAAGACTATTGGCAAACATAAAATAATTACAGTCCTATATCAGTAAACACCCAACTGGTGAACAATTTCATAAATAAATATGGCCTTCATAAAGCTACTACAATCTCAAAGCTGAGTATAAAATGTACCAGCAACAGTAAATACAAGATTAGTGAAATTTTCATAATTGCACTATTTTGTTCAGAAATTAAGGAATTTTCAAAGTGAAACTCTCTAAATGTTATATTTAATATATGCATACTTTAAAAAATCTCTCAGCAAATGAATAAATGCATTAGTGAAAGCAATACATCTTCTAGAGTTAAATTTGTGCTTATATGATGTAGAGTGATTTCACTTGCATGTACATATTTAATAGGTGTGTAATCTTCTAGTTTGAATGAGAGTCATCATATATGCAGGCGCCAAGAATTGGCAAAGAAAATAAACATTAAATTGAGTTTAAATGTTCTTCAAAATTGATTATAGCAAATTACCCAAACTAAAGCTATATTTAGAAGTAAACCTAGGAAATCTTGTTTTGGCAAATGATATAGGTCTTCTGAGTAAAGACGTACAAATTCATCCCAAGGGCTTAGAAGAGTGCTTCTGAGCCGAGGAGCAGAGCTATACTGACTCCTTTTGATTCATTGTCACAGTCAAAGCTATACACCAAAACTTTTGCATTTTGATCCAAGATCCCAGTTTCTAATAAGTGATATTCCCCACAATTCTAAAGCTAGTCAATATATTTTTTACTATATACTTGATTATAACTGGGCACAATGGAATCCTTCCTTTGGTCAATACAGGTTTCAGTAGCTGAACTTCAAACAGTTTGAATTCTTACCCCTCTTTAACACACCCCTGTCCTATATATATTCATAGAATATTTTAATATTTTCATTAGTCAAATTGTTTTGTTTTCTAGACCTGGTTAGGTCTTCCAATGGTCTTCTAAATAGTACTCTTTGTGTTTTATATACACTTAGAATTAATTTTTATTATATTTTGTGCCCATATTTCTTTTCTAATACATATCTATAGCCTATAAACAGACTCTAGAGTCTATAAGTACAAAGGAGAATACAAAATGTAGCAGCCCTCAAGTAGCCATGAGCTGGCAGGACAAAGCACGTGGAATGAACATGAGTTCAGTTCTGTTCAGTTTAGTTCAGTCACTCAGTCATGTCTGACTCTTTGCGACCCCATGAACCTCAGCACGCCAGGCCTCCCTGTCCATCACCAACTGCCGGAGTCCACCCAAACCCATGTCCACTGAGTCGGTGATGCCATCCAACCATCTCATCCTCTGTCGTCCCCTTCTCCTCCTGCCCTCAATCTTTCCTAGCATCAGGGTCTTTTCAAATGAGTCAGTTCTTCACATCAGGTGGCCAAAGTATTGGAGTTTCAGCCTCGGTATCAGTCCTTCCAATGAATATTCAGGACTGATTTCCTTAGGATGGACTGGTTGGATCTCCTTGCAGTCCAAGGGACTCTCAAGAGTCTTCTCCAACACCACAGTTCAAAAGCATCAATTCTTCAGCACTCAGCTTTCTTTATAGTGCAAGTCTCACATCCATACATGACTACCGGAAAAGTTAATAACAGTAACTACTACCACCAACCACCATTTTGGTTAGCAAAATTTACAGTATCTGAGATTTGCTAGGTGATAACTACATAACATTACCCTGTTCAACAAATAGCCTAGATCATAGATATACATTATTCAGAGATGAGGAAACTGAGGATTAACAACTTCAAAAGTTAATTAGTAAATGAAAGATATAGTCACTTGAATCCAGAAGCCTGATTCTAATTCCTTGGCACACTGATACTATGGGATTTGGGCAAATGACCAATTAATTATACAAAAGAAAAGAAGAATGTTTCCATAGAAATAACTATTATCCATTCATTTTATAATATGTATTTGATACCTATTATAAATTGGGCAGTGTGCTAAATGCTAAGTAATCACATACAAGTAAAACATAATGTCTCCCCTTTAAAAGTTCACAGTCTGGAAGGACAGACAGCCTAAAAAAATAATTGACAGGGAGTTAAGGACAGCAATAGACATATGGAATGAGGGCAACAGGGAGTCAGGCACCTGCTTGGGTGGGTGAGGAATGGCTTCACAAGGGAAAGACAAGTCTTACTGAGACCTGAGGAATAAGGTGAAATCGCCAGATGGCCTGAGTGAAGTTCATTTGTGGCTCAGCATGTGGAAAGGCATGGAGACTTGAAATATCATTGTATATATGAGTATGTTGAAGCTGGGGCTGTCGTGGAAGTGGGGAGAGTCTCTTTAGTCAGGCCGAGGCAAGTTGAACACAGCCTTTGGGTAAGAAGTATAACAAATTTACCCTTTAGAGTTTGTTCTACTCAGGATTATAAAATGTGGAGCCACTGAGAAACTAAGCTGGAAGGGTAAAGCAACCAGATGTGTGATTTAAAATAGGGCAAGAGTGCAGAGAATAAGTAGGATTTTTCTAAGTACCAGAGCAGGGAAGAAGGCACAACAGAATGATACCATATGGTGTGTTTAAGGGAAAATGAGTAATGCAAAGTGTGAGAGACAAAGACAGAGACCCAAAAGGTTGCTTAGGCTAGATTTTAAAGGGCCTTCAATCCCATGCTTACAAACTGTTTTGTTTTACAAGACATAGCCAGAAGGATAATGTGATCATATCTGGATTTTAAATAGATAAATCAAGAAGAGTGATTGTCGGCAGACAGCCCAGGGAGTAGGTTTTGTGATAGTCCAGGTGTGAGGGGAAAGGAGCCAGAAATGAAGTAGCAAATAAAATGGAAAGAGGACAGTGAATTTAAAAGAATCCTATGTAGAAACAGCATGACTTAGTAAGGAAAGGATGCACCTGGTGAAAGATAGCACAGAGTTAGACTATTCGGAGGTTTGACTATGTGTTCTTGTCATGGCTTGTCTTGTTTTATTATGTTTGTAAAGTGTAGGTGACCTGTCTTCTCAGATTGCCTGTATTAAAAAGGTTCTTGTTTAAATTCAGGATGGATCAAATTGTAGTGGGCAGTGTCTACAGACAGCTGATAAAGAGATGACAACAGAAGGTAGAATAGCAGTAGGCAAGAAGCCTAAGCTAAGATGCCCAAGACTTTCGAGCCACAAGATTCTGGGCTGTGGGAAATATATAAATGAGGATTGGGGAACTATATTTCAGTCTTAGAGAGTACAGGACCTCATAAATATGTGTTCAACTTAGTGAAAATATGAGTTCTGGATTAAAGAATCAAGATAAACATAGGAGTGGAGAAAGAAGACAGGTAAGGTGCAAGGCTGTATCTTGACCACAAGAGAGAAGAAACCTAGCTATGGGTTAGGAAGTCAGAGTAGAATTAGTAGCATTGGTGATTTGATAGTGACCTGACCAACTTTTGTCTGTGGCTCCTTGTATCTCTTTCAGAAACAAACTGAGTCCTGGAGTCTGCAGAGATCTAAACCCGTAGGTGTAATTCATGTCTCTAGAGGACCAGCAATGCAGAATTGAAGACAGGACACTGCATGATTGGAAGTTTTTTGAAGAAAATTAAAGGAAACAATTCACTAAGCTTCTGTTCTGTGCCAGGTACTGGGGCAACTGGTCACCATACTGAGGCATAAATACTATTATTTTCATTTTAAACCAATGTTCTTAGCGGTAACCTGTCTCAAATTGCAGAGCTGGGTATCTTGGGTCTGTTCAGTTTAACACCAAAGCCAAAACAAATTCTTCCACCTCATGCTTGTTCCTTGGAGTAGTCCACCAGGCCATTCCAAACACTTAGCACATGTGCACACGCATGCATACTCACACACACACACACACACACACACACACACACACACACAAAGTGCCTGGCAGCTGACATTCTAAATGCCTCCTAAATCAAAGAAGTGACTCTCTTTTTCAGTTGAAGAGAGATTGAAGAGATGTTCTCTCAGCAAAAGATGAAAACAGGAATGCATTGTTCTGTTAACTCTCCCAACCCCTGGTTGCATTCACTCCCTGTCCCCTCCCAAGCTAGGACACCAACAATGTTCTAAAGAAAGTAGCCAATACCAGTCTTCTCTTTCATTGTTGACTGAAGTGCATCTAACTTCTGACCTGTTCATTCCCTCCTTGCTTGCAGGAAAAGAAGCAGTTGTAAAACAGACTTGGACCAAGTCTGTTGCAAGTAGACCAAGTCTACTTGCTTCATGTAGACCAAGCAAGGAGCCAAAGGGTCATTTGAGCACCTTCCAGTGATCATGGAAACTCCATGACTGACCTAGTCAGTGAATCAACTAGATTCCTTAGGTCTGGAGTATGAAGGCCCTCATCACTTCACTATCAAAGCGCCAGTCTCTGAAATATTTTTGAGACCTGCCTTCTGGAAATCTGGCTGAGATGGTACAAGAAATGGCATGGCCAGAGTGGTGTGAGGTGGGACACTGGTCATTCACCGAAGAAAGTAAACTGGGATTAGTCTTTACTGATTTTGCAACATATCTCACCCAAGGAGTACCCTTTGCCTTAAGACAAAGCTGTGTTTGTAGTTGGGAGTATTCATTCATTTCTTACTAAACCATAACAACAAAAAAATTAAAACTGGTCAAACTCAAATGATAAGATTTGCACTCAATTTCCTAGCAGCCAGGCCTTGTACATTCCATTCAGGAAAAAGGCTGCACCCGTTTTCTTTTGTTTCTTCATTGCTTTAAACTTGGTAGACAATTAATAAAATTTTCTGATTAATTTATAAGGACTCAGAGTATCATACTAAGAATCTATGTTTTTCTTGTACTCCTAATGTATTTTATTTTAAGCAGTTGTGCTTTCTTGTCCCTGGGTTGTATGCAGCATGATTTATTAAACACCTTAATGCAGCTTTTTGATAAACTAGAAACTGTCTCATATAAAAGATGGGCTTTATTTTTTAAAGACACAGACTCATTTGTACTTGATTGTGAAGGAATCCTAAGTCATCAGGAGTCATGGTGCTGAGAGGCCAGGATGAGGTGGTTTATTATGTTCTTATTACAGATTCCCTGCATGGCTTCCTTGCTGGGTGAGACTTTCTCTTCCACATCAAAAATGACTCAAAGTTTCCAGTGTACTATTTCACCCCAAAAAACACAGAAGAAGAAAAAGAATTTGTACGTTTTTGGAATACATTTCAGAAACTATGTGGTTAGGAATGATAACATGGAATTGATGTTTTTAATAACCCACATAGTTTGAAATACGACAAATCCAACCATCTCACAGATTATATTTTCTGAATCTACAAAGGCAAGACGCTCTGCTGAATCCTGGAAAGATGGAGAGATGAGAAGGGTGTGTTCTAATTTTGAGGAGGACTCATGAGAATGAGACTACACACATGCTAAACACACAGGAAGTGAAAAAGAAAGCACATTGTTTCACACCATTTAACTAAAACATTAACCAAACACCAAATGGGAGTTAATGTAAAACAAACACCAACTGCAGATATTTTATCTATTAGTTCAGTTCAGTTGCTCAGTCATGTCTGACTCTTTGCGACCCCAAAAACTGCAGCATGCCAGGCCTCCCTGTCCATCACCAACTCCTGGAGTTTACCCAAACTCATGTCCACTGAGTCGGTGATGCCATCCAGCCATCTCATCTTCATGTCTTTCCCTTCTCCTCCCTCAATCTTTCCCAGCATCAGGGTCTTTTCAAATGAGTCAGCTCTTCACATCAGTTGGCCAAAGTATTGGAGTTTAAACATCAGTCCTTCCAATAAACACCCAGGACTGATATCCTCTAGGATGGACTGGTTGGATCTCCTTGCAGTCCAAGGGATTCTCCAGAGTCTTCTCCAACACCACAGTGAAAAAGCATCAATTCTTCGGTGCTCAGCTTTATAGTCCAACTCTCACATCCATACTATATTTCACTATTAATCTCAAATCCCTTGGAATAAAGAGAATGTCTTAAACCTTCAATACTTTTTATTCAATTTCACATTTATATCTTAATTGGAAGTAACAAAAGAAAAGAGAAAAAACAAAACAAAACAAAATCCAGGAAGATGTCTAAGATTTCTGAGCAACAAGAAGCAGGGCTATCAGAGTGATCTCAGTGAGGACTAGAACATCATAATTCAGCCTTAGAGAGAACCAGACCTTCAACAAATGTCTGTTTAACTACTTAGTCAGCATGTTAACCCTGGAGTAGATTAATTAAGGCAAAGATGAATACAGAGAAAAAGGGATAGGTAAGGTACAAAGCAGATATGCATGCATGGTATCTGTCTGAGCTGAAGTAAAACTGTGTGGTTCATCTGGTTGCAACATTTTTAAAAAGAACAATAAGATTCCACTGTATAGTCCAGGGAACTATATTCAATAATTTAATATCCTGTGATAAACCATAATGGAAAAGAATATTGGCAAAGGAGCACTAAAGAAGAATGTATATGTGTGTGTGTACATATATATGTATAAAGTGATTCAGTATACATATAGTGATACATATGCATGTGTATAACTGAAGCACTTTGCTGTTCAACAGAAATTAACACAGTATTACAAATAAAAAACATAAAAAGAAAAAAATATTAAAAAATACTTCAACTAAAAAATATTTTAAAATATACTTTCTCTTTTTTCCAGAATATGGACTTCATGGTTGTGTGAATAGTATTGGCTCGTCTCAAATAAAACTGATTTGCTACATGGTACTTGTTGCAGGAACAAAGGCAGTGAAGGCAAAGGAGCTTTGTAATAAAATATGAATGTTTTGAAGTCCAGCAGGTTTGGAACTAAATTCTGGCCCTATTACTTCCTAGATCTCTGAACTTAGACAGTCATTTGACTTTTCTGAACGTACGTACTGCCATCTGAAAATGAGAAAAATTATCTGTTCTCAAGATTTATGAGCTAATGTGTTAAACAGGACAGTGCCTGGAGGATAATAGGAGCTCAATAAAATGATAAAGAGAATTAGAAGACGCATGGGAACCCCATGGCTCATTGGAAGAGTGGATTGTTAAAGTGATCTGGGATAATGACTGATGACATCAGAATTAATTACAGTTTCTGCAGAATGTTTATTGATTATATGTTGAGAGCTCTGCTTTTGTGGGGGAAAAGCAAACTGTTTAAAATTATTCTGGAGAAAGCATCATAGCTAATATTGTCAGTTTTACTCAAGCTATTTTAGTATCAATTTAGTATCATTCTTTTAGTCTTTTTGGTTGTTTATTCCCCCAGGTATTGATCTCAACTCCATATCTGGCTTTACTGAGAATCTTTCTCTTAGCAACTCATGGATCTAACATGGGATGCTATGATTCTTCACTGTTTTCTGGTTTGCAACAACCCTGGAATTAACACCACTCAATTTTAGACCACAACCTAGAAGATGTTGCTTTTAGAAGAGATGTTGCTGAGGTCTTTAGCTGTACTTGATGTTCTGAAGAGGCAGTTTCTTTGTCTGTGTGGTTATTTTTAAACAAAGAAGTCATTCTCATCAACATTCAAGTTTTCAGTTTTTCTTGGAAAAGAAAACTAAAATATCTGAGCTCTGAATTCCTAAGAACAACAATGGGCTGGAATTAGGTAGGGGTGGAAAAGACACCATAGACCACCAGCCAACCTTCCACTCCCTTTCCTGAAATAACTATGCTGGTTCAGATATACACAACTGCCCATAATCTTTGTGACTTGGGGAAAAATGACTCACTCAATTTCTGAATCTTCCTTTTGACCAGATACATTTTTCTTGAAGGATTTGAGACCAAATATGAGGTAATGGAATGTTAGGAGATCTTTTCTAGGGGTTTCTGAAAAGATTTAGGCTCCCCCTAAATCTTCTGAGAAAGTTTCCAAATTATCCCTCTCCTTTCCACTCGTAGTTTCCACTGTTTCCCCATCTATTTCCCATGAAGTGATGGGACCAGCTGCCATGATCTTAGTTTTCTGAATGTTGAGCTTTAAGCCAACGTTTTCACTCTCCTCTTTCACTTTCATCAAGAGGCTTTTTAGTTCCTGTTCACTTTCTGCCATAAGAGTGGTGTCATCTGCATATCTGAGGTTATTGATATTTTTCCCAGCAATCTTGATTCCATTGATTACCATTAGTCATAATTATGAGGCTTTGAACTGTTGCAGCCATCTTGCTACCACCTTGAAGATAAAGCTCTGTGACCAAAGGAGGACAGAGCCAGGAGAATTTCAGGGAGACAGAGAGTCGTTCAAAACCCCACGTGACCTCTTCACTGACTTACTGCATGTGAGCCAATAATTCCTTCAGTTCATCCATTTTAAATGAGGTGGTCCTTGCCTGTCTTTTAATGAACAAAACTGATGGAGTGTACCCCACATAAGCATCACCATATTTTCATAGCAACAGTTTTTCAGCAACGTGTGTCCTGATCTACTTTCTTCCTATTAGCTACTTACTGGTTTCTGGTCAGCATTTAAGTTGGTGTCTTGTATTATAGACACACCCTGAAACAAATCCTAAGCAGGAAAATATCAAGGCTCACAGAGTTTCAGGAATTGGGGTGAAGTACGGTAATGGATGACATCTCCTCCTTTTTAAAAAGGAGTAATGGAAGGAAACTCTC